TTCTTTCAACTTGGTTGGCCGCCGAACGAAGGGTTCGTCGCGTATCTTGCTAAGAATCCGGTAGATAAGTTTATTGAACACCGTGGTGATGGCAGTTCAGACTCTCAACTTCCTTGCTTGGGAGTCCTCTCGCCTGCTTCTACCATTTTTGTTCGATCGTTCTTTCCTGGTGACCGTGTTAATTTTTGTCACAGGCTTTCTATCTGACATCGTTGTTGTGTTAGATTTTGCTTTGGCGCAAGCTCCATCTTCTTCTACTCAGATGTGCTAATGCACTATTTCCATTAGGGCCTTCATTGTGAGGGGTGGCGTCATCGTCATTGAATCCTTTAACTTATTGCCTGCCGGCAAACCCTGTTTGTATTGTAGGATAGCGAGGTTTGTGGGACAATCTTTAATTTGATTAAAAGTCTTCCAATACCGGTTGTTGTAAGATTTTAATGTTTCTTTCTTGCCCATGTCTATAGAGAGCAGTTGGTCAATCTCCACCGGCGTCTTAGTGTTTGTTCTAAATCTAGTCACAAATGCCTCTACAAGTTGTACCCATGAAGTTATGCTGCCTTCTGGCAACCTCTCAAACCATGCCAAACCCAGGTCACCTAGGCTAGAAGGAAACAGGATACACATTAGTGCCTCGTTTCGTCGATATACGGCCATAACCTGGCAAAAGTGGCTCAAATGCATATAGGGGTCCAACTTCCCCTTATAAGTTGTGAATTTAGGCTGATGGAAGCTTGAGGGTCATGGTGCGTTCTCAATCGCCGAAACGAATGATGAGCTCTGCAACCTTGCTAACACTTTGTCTACTGGTTCGTAAGTAAGGCGTGGTACTGGTATCCCGACCTCGACACTCCCATGTGTTCTAGGAGCCAACCGTTGTAGAGCTGAGACCCTATGGGGGTCGCGAGTAGGGGTGCAACTCGGGCAGGTTCGGTCGGGTTGGGAGGTTGTCCAAGCCCAGTCCAAGTTGTGCTAAGACCTGCCAAAGCCCGCCCAAGCCCGAATTATAACCCAAGGTTGTCTGCTCAAGCCCGACCCAAGTTAAACCCGAATTGCCCGAATTGTAAATGAATTTCAGTTTTTTTTTTCCCAGCTACATTATTAAATTATTAAAATTTGACTCTATTTACAATTTTTTTAAAAAAAATAGAAAATCATTAATACCATCAAAACAAATAATTTATTTAATGTAAGAGAGATGCCAATATAGTAGTCTTTACAATTTATGAGTGAAAATAAAAAGAAAAAAAAGTAAGATTTTATGTTATTTATATATATAATATCAATAGTGATTTAGACCCCCTCAAACTTTAACCCCCACCACCCCCCCACACACATGGCGGGTGGTGATTGGAGGAGGAGAAAAAAAAGAAAAAAGAAAAGAAAAACTGACCAATAAAAAAAGAAAGGGGGTCAAAAGGGGGTGAGGGAAAGAGGGTCCCAATCTTTATTCATTATTTATTAGTTAATGAAAAACCTTTCATGAAAATAATCATGAAAGTTTCGTGACATATATATATTTAATATTTTTATATATCTATATATGTATAATTCGGGTTTCGAGTTGCTCGGGTTGCTTGACGTCTTTGCCTAAGTCCGCCCAAATTTAATTCGGGCTTCTGAATTTTTGCCCAAACCCGTACCGAATTTGAAAACATTTTGTCCAAGCCCTAAAAAAATTCGGGCTGGGCTCGGGTTGCTTGGGTTAAGCCCGCCCAAGTTGCACCCCTAGTCGCGAGCCTGGGTGTCCTTTCTCCTTTGGGCCCTTTCCTCTAGTACTGTTTGCAAGTCTGCCGACCTAGGCAACTCTGTGTGTCTAGATGTCGTTTGGTGCGAATGCGAGAGCCGATAACTGCTTCCCTCAGTACAAGACCTTTCAGTAACGATGTAAGAAAAATAAAAAAAACCGATCAAACCGATTGAACCGGACCAAACCGGTTATATTTGGTCTGTTTTTTAACAAGAATCGGTCTGTGCGGTTTTTAAATTTGAATTTTTTGATTTTCGGTTCGGTATCGATTTAAGCATCTTGTGCACCGATCTAAACGAAAGCTAACCGTTTCAACATATATTGTATATATATATATATATATAATCTAATAATATAATGATATTAATAAGTATAATAAATTATTAACCTTAATTAATTAATCTTATCATCTTTATAACCTAAGTTTGTAAACTCTTATTATATATAATCGTAACTCTAACTCATTATTCTTAAAACCTTAGTATTTTTAAACTTTTTTTTGTTTTTATTTTTGTTAATTTAGGAATTGAAAAGTATGTATTAAATGGATGGATTGGATATGTTTGAAATGGTAGACAAATAACTAATTTAATGTTTTTTATATAGATTAATGATTGTATTCAAACGTGGCTCAAGTTCGAAAAATCCTAAACTGATTAAACCGCACCAAACCAAACCGTTTCAATCGAATCGGTTCGGTTCGGTACGGTTTGATGGGGAGAAGCGGTCTATATCGGTGTTCAAAATAATAAAACCGACATCATCGGTTTCGGTGTAATCTTTTACCTAAATACCTACCTTTCAGCCCTCATTTCCTCAGACCTGGAGAAAGGAGTCTTGGAAGTCCTTGATTATGTGTCGCCTGTCTTGAGGCTTCTACTTTCAGCTTGTGACAATGTGACTTGCCTGTCACGATCTTCTGAGTGGCAAGAGTGCGTGTTGCCTTTGCGCCTTTCTTCTTCTGCCACCCATTTGCCTTTTATCTGGCGCTTCATCATCTCCATGTCTGCCGCCATCCTTCTTATCAATTCGTCTTGCTCCTTTATGCGATCCTCCAGAACCTGAGGATCCATCCTCTGCCTCTGCCTGTCAGGGCTCTAAAAGCGACGAGGACTCGAGCCTCGTTTTTCTCGTGTGTCTCTTCGTGGGTTCCATCGTTGGGGATCTAATTCTGCCATGTGTGGGATAAAAGGTAAACCTTCGCGCCTCTCGCCCCCTACCGGGGTTTGTCCATCAGTAGCAGAATGTGGCAAGTCTTCATTGTGCGCCATAAAATTTAACTAAAAAGGAAACTCAATCAAAAGGTTTGTTCTTTGTGTGTATTTCCACAGACGGCGCCAATTGTACGAGCATGAAATAATCTTCTCGTATAATCTTGTTAATCAAGTTTGCACTCCTCCAAACGTCGTCGCTTTACTACCTAAAAATGCAAACGTGAGCTAGCTGGCGGGTGTGTGCCGGAAACCTCTCTGATGCCTAAGTCAGCAAAATAGATAATAGACAATAGACACAAAAGCTCTGTGTATTTGAGAGTAAGAATTATGACACCTGTACATAGGTCCTGTCATGAGCTTTTATAGTTTTCACCTAGTACAATCCTAGTAGGGCTCCAACTCTCTTTAGCAGAGTCCTCTTAGGAATCACGCTCCCAAGGATAATGCCTATCCTAAAAACACTCTACTCACTGTCTACCAAGTGAGATGGTGGCAACTCTCACTTGGGATGGTAGCACATTCAATCAAGCTTATACAGCTCGGTGCTGCTTTAGGTGACGCTGTCATAGTCCTAACAGTAAGATGGCATATGCAATCGTAGTCCTTAGCTCGGTTCTTCATCACTGGCACCTCGGTCCTCTATGTGGCTTGGTCTTGGGATTGCAAGGTCAAAACCTTAGCAACCCTTCTCTAACTGATCTGACACCCTGATGACCCAGATCGAGCTATCCGAAACTTACTTCAACCCTTAGTTTGGCTCAACGTCTAAGATAGATTAATCTTAGCTCAGCTCAAACTATAACATAAATTACCCTCTTAGTAATTTAATTTGCATCTCTATTTTTTTGATTTTATTTAACTTGTATATATACAAGTCTCATACTCACGCACCTATTCATGCACATATGAATAGTCAGTAAAATGCAGGGCCAGCCCTGAAATTTAGGGGTCTAAGGCGAACTTTGAAAATGGGGGCCTCTCTTACATTGAAAAAAAAAAATTTATGAATAAACGATAAGTTATAACTTTTTTATTTATTTGTAACCACAAAAAAATTTACTTGCACATATAATCATTAAAATTATAAACAAAACAATTTAATGAAACAAAATTAGGGTAAAAAAATTAGGAAAAAATTATTCAATTAAAACTGATAAAGACCTAGATAAAAAAATTTATGCAAAATTATTTATTCTACTAAAATCTAATAGATAAAGAAGGTTAAAAAAAAAAAAATAGGGCTCATATATTGTATGTATTGTTTTTCTTGGGCCTAAAGATTTTTTTCTTATATATATTTTTTCATTCTAATAAATATAAGCAAAAAAAACTACACTTATAAATAAGTATGGGCTAAGCCATACATGGACCCAATAAAATATTTTGAGGCCCTTTAAATTGATCCTAAAACCAAAAAAATAAAAAAATATTGAGCCTATAATATTTTACCAAATTTGGGAGCCCTATTTTTAGGCCAAAATTTTGGGGCCTAAGACCCAGGCCTTACTGGCCTTAGGCTAGGACCGGCCTTGGTAAAATGATTGATAATTTAATTTCGGTCTCTTTTTTACTTTCTTTAAGCTTTGTGATTGAAGGAAGGCGTTACAAATTTTTAAAAGTAATTATTTTTGTATTTATTTAAATACAAAATTTGAGAATATTTTATATTAAAGAAAATAGTTGAAGAGCATGCCAAAGCTTAAACCCAAAACCACAAAACATAACACAAAGTTCCAATTATATATTCGCATACTATTATTTAAAATTATTAAAATTTAAAATCAATTAACATTGAGTGAAGTGTTGCTTCGGTGACTTAAAATTGAAATGTTTAAAAGTTTGATTTAAACATTTCAATTTTAATTTTTCTCCATACCATAGTACTTGATTTATGTTGAAGATTCTTGAAATTTTTAGTTAAACTTCATTGGATTAAAGTTAAAGCCACACAAAAAAGAGCTTAGAACATCATAAACATAAATGAACAAAACCAAGAACCATATAAACTTCTGCAGCATTATTATTATTTTTTTACTTGGGCCAGTATACACGTACCTCAAAAGATTACAGAAATCAATTAGAGACGACTAACCATCGCCTCTTCCTTGCTCTTTACACTCAACAAGTCCTTGGCCCTTTTCGCCGCATCAACCGCCAACTCCTTCAACTCTGAAATCTTCCCAATGGCACTGTCTTTCCCCTCTCTTGCCTTCTCCATTGTCACCGCCTTTGTCTCCTTCGCCTTCTCAGCTATTGCATAATCTTTGTACTCTCCAGCTTTCTCCAATGTCGAGTCATTCGCTTCTCTCACTTTCTCTGCTGCATAATCTTTATATTCAATCGCCTTTCCTAATGCCAAATCCTTACACTCTCTAGCTTTCTTGGCTGCAGTATCAGCAACATTGCTAGTCTTCTCCTTCGCCGCCTCCTTGCCCTCTCTTGTATATGTTGCCGACTCCTCCTCCATCTTAGTTCATTGTTGGTAATATGTTCTTCTTCTCTCTCTGTTTGCATCACTACTACTAGGCTCAGAAACAGCTACCCTCACAGCTGCCTCCTCAGCTCTCTTTTCCTTGCCTTGGATTCATGCCATAACTATATATCTTCGACACTGATTCAGAAACACCTTCTTATATCTTTTTCATCCTCTTGTTTTTTTGATCTGAGTTTTGTGATTTTGAAGACTGGTTTCACACGTTGTGGGCTTGTGATGGTTGACTGACACGTAATTGGGTGCGATAGCACAGCTACTGGACTTTATACTTTGTTTTGCATACTCATTTTGCTATATTTTTCCACTGTTTTTGGGCTGCTGTTGAACTGTAAAAAAACCAATTTTGGTGGACTAAAAGTGATGGTTTGAGACCATTTTAAGTTAGGGGGTGCTTTACCCTTATTTCTTTCTCGTTTGAAAGGTTTTTGCCCTTTTGTTTTCCACTTTCAAACCAACGTTTTTGGGCTTTTAACCATTGAATTTCAGAGTATTTTTAGTGGCAAAAAACATGTTTTGAAGTCCAAAATTAGAGGGTTTAGCCTTCCCTCCTTGTGTCTTGTTTGCTAGCCTAGTTAGTTCTATATGTTAGCATGATTTTCTAGCTTTTTGAAGCTATATTCCAGCATGTTTTTGCCTTTGTTTTAAACTGCTTTAGCTCTGTTTTGGGCTATTTGGGTCAGTTAAATCTTGTTTTGCATGGTTGTAGTGTAAATGTGATAACCCTGTCTTGTGTTAAGTTAATTAATCGTGATTATGTTGTGATTATGTGATTAATTTGAATTTGGGTGCTAATTGCATGATTAAATGTGATTTTGACCTTATATCTATTCACTGTAGGAAAATCTATTCAACTTACTGTTGTAAACTGAAAATTGAAGGCCTTATCAGCCACAAAAACCGAAATTAACTACGCCATTGTGACTAGCGTAATTTTTAGAGCCTATGGTAAAATTTAATTAGAAATTGATTCGGATCAAAATAATTAAATTCAGAATGATTAAATTAGAGCATCATTATTTAGCCTTAATCAATTTGATTAGCCAAGCCTATAAATAGGTCTATGTACACTCAATTCTTTCTCTTGAACTCATCTTGGTTGAAATCACATTCTAGAGAGAGAGGGCCAGTTTAGAGAGAGAGAGAGAAGCCACCCTTGTAGATTTTTGCAAGGGAATTCAAGATTTGAAAGGCTAGGCCCAAGAACTAGCTAGAATTGAAGATTTGAGCCTCTAGGTGAGTACCTAGGCATGAATTCATGAGTTTGAGTTGTAATTATGTGAACTCAAACATAAATTGTGATCAAGAACGTGAATTGAGTTGAATTTGATGATTTTGAAGTCATTTTAAACATGCATGTAAAAGATTGCCATGAATTTGTGTATTTGAGCATGAAACATATGATCCATGCTGAATTTTAATTAAGATTTATGCTTTTGATCATCTTTTGCATCATTTAAGTTGAGAATGGAAATTATATTCCACATGCAAGCACAATTCATGAAGGTACAAGCTTTAGTTGCATGAATTTGAAGTATTGAAGATGAGTTTGGTATGAATTGTATATGCATGTAGTTGATTCATGGGAATTGAGCTTCATAATGTTGTAAATTTAGTATTTGTATCATGTTAGAAGATGTACGAGTGAATTATGGGTCATAATATGCAAGTTACTTCAACTTGAATGCAAATTTGAAGCTCAAACAGCTTGTTGGGAATTCCAGAATTCGTCGAGTCCACTCAAGCGGGAAATATGCCGCTTGAGCGTAAAATGTTAGCTCCCAAAAGTTTTGCAGACATTGATGTCTGTGGTGGTGGTAGTGGTGGTAGCGGTGGTGATAGTGAGTTTATAATAGTGCATATCGATATTTATATTTAATATTTATAAATCCAATCAAAATTAAATAAATTTTATATAACTTAAAATTTTCTTAAGTTTTAGTTTACATTTTAAGATGAACTTAAATTTTTAAGTGATATCAATTACGATTATCAAACGGCCTTAATTAATTATCACTTAATTAATTTAATTTTAAGAGCTAAATTATAATATCAAACACTCCCTAAATAATGGTATATAAATAGCGGTGTGTAAATAGAATTACCCAATACTAATAACAACTAAAACATGTCGAAAAGACAAGGGACTCAATGCAAGGGTCTCTCAGCGAGTCAACTGGCTGAAGAAACCAAAAGTCATCTATCTATACTATTGTTAAGTAAAGGCCTAAAATGATTTAGTGAAACCTTATTCTCCTCATGTCATGTGACAACTTTATATATGCTAAAATATATATATATATATATATATTATACACAGTTAATCAATCAAACAAAAAAAGAAAAAAGTGATGGTTACCCTGCTTTTAATCCCACATTATTAAAGTGAAAAAGAGAAAAAAAGATAGCATGAAAATGTAGAAAACTAGTAATGGGCATCAATCAACACTATGTCTAACAGAAAAAGCCCAAACAAAGCAAATGCACAACAAATATTGAATAGAGAAAGAAAAGAAGCAAAAGGGGTGAAGAAAAGAGAGGGAAATTGAAGTAATTAATTAATACCAAAAGTGGATTGAGCAGGGATGGTGATATCATGGTGAGATGAGCCATGAGAGACCTTGATCTTGATCATTGGACCTCCACAACCACCACCGCCATCAGACTCAACAACACCACCTCTCTTCTGAACAAGCATACCACCAGGCCTCAGCTCCCAATCAATGATTGGCTCATCATTGCATTTATACCCTCTGTTTTCAACACTACTACCTTTCTTTGAAGTTGTTGATGATCTTTTCATATTCACCAAATAAACTGATAGCTCTTGAAAAAGAAAAAAATTAAAAAAATGGAAAGAAAGGTGGGAAGTTGATGGAGAGAGGAGAGAGGTGAGGTGGGTGGTGGAATGGGAAGAGGGTTTTTGAGTAGAGACTAAAACAAAAAATTAAATATTAAAAAAAATAAAAAATTGAAAGAAAGGAAAGAAACGAAAGGAGCATTGGAACCCACTGAAAAAGACAGATGAGTGGGACAGGAACATTTCAACTGACTCTCATGCTAGTGTAGCGGTTGATCGGTTTCTCTGCTTCAACACTTGTTTGGCAAGGACGATCTTTTGATCCTAAATAATTTTGACTTTCTATTTTAAATCATTCACAATTATTATATTATATGAGATTAAAAATTTCAAGACATATTTAATGATTGTGAGTTATTTGGAATAAAGAGACAGAATTATTTGGAGACAAAGGATCTTGGGCCTTGTTTTGGGTTTTGTGAGGTGCCAATTAATATCATTTGAATAAGAATAATGCTAGATGTATTAATAAAAAATGTTAGAGATCTCAAAAATTCTATCAAAAGTTTTACCAAATATCTGGTGTGGGACTCACATGAGACCCACATTAATCCTACACTCATATGAGACATTTGGTAGAAATTTTGATAAATTTTTTGGAGTATGTAGTATTACTCTGTATTAATTAATGTACCAACTAATATATTAATAGATGATATTGCATAATTTTAAAGATTTTAGGTATTTATAATTTATATAATAGGTGGAGTCAATAATAATGATATAACACTAATTGGTATACTAATGTATATATTAATTGATACATGTAATATCACCAATATCAGTAGGGGTCAAAATTGCAAAAAAATATAATTATTAAATAGTGTAGTTAATGTGCTTTTAAGATGGGTTTGGATGCTTCGTGGGGTTCACAGGGCTTCATTTTGCGATTTCAATGGTTCATTTTGTTTGAATATTCATATGAATCGCGAAAAAAATTATATTGATTCAATAAATATATTTATATATTTTGATGACATTTATTTGTCAAAAATGATTGATAAAAATAAATTTAAAAATATTTTGTCTTTTTTTAAATAAATTTGATAAAATTATAAAATATGATTATTAGATAAATAATTTTTTTTAATAATTTCCATGCATAATTAAACAAAATGAACAATTCTAATAATTGAAATGGAGTCCGTAATGAGTCACAAAACTCAACAATACCTTGGCCCCAGGGCCGGCTCCGAGGTTTAGGGGGCCTAAGGCGAACTTTGAAAATGGAGGCCCCTCTTACATTAAAAAAAAAAAAATTTCATGAATAAACGATGAGTTATAACTTTTTTATTTATTTGTAGCCACAAAAAAATTTACTTGCATATATAATCATTAAAATTATAAACAAAACAATTTAATGAAACAAAATTAGGATAAAAAAATTAGGAAAAAATTATTTAATTAAAACTGATAAAGACCTAGGTAAAAAAATTTGTGCAAAATTATTTATTCTACTAAAATCTAATAGATAAAGAAGGTTAAAAAAAAAAATTAGGGCTCATATATTGTATGTATTGTTTTTCTTGGGCCCAAACATTTTTATATATATATATATATATTTTCATTTTAATAAATATAAGCAAAAAAACTACACTTATAAATAAGTATGGGCTAAGCCATACATGGACCCAATAAAATATTTTGAGGCCCTTTAAATTGATCCTAAAACCAAAAAAATAAAAAAATATTGAGCCTATAATATTTTACCAAATTTGGGAGCCCTATTTTTAGGCCAAAATTTTGGGGCCTAAGACCCAGGCCTTACTGGCCTTAGGCTAGGACCGGCCTTGGTAAAATGATTGATAATTTAATTTCGGTCTCTTTTTTACTTTCTTTAAGCTTTGTGATTGAAGGAAGGCGTTACAAATTTTTAAAAGTGATTATTTTTGTATTTATTTAAATACAAAATTTGAGAATATTTTATATTAAAGAAAATAGTTGAAGAGCATGCCAAAGCTTAAACCCAAAACCACAAAACATAACACAAATTTCCAATTATGTATTCCATACTATTATTTAAAATTACTGAAATTCAAAATTAATTAGCAATGAGTGAAGTGTTGCTTGGGTGACTTAAAATTGAAATGTTTAAAAGTTTGATTTAAACCTTTCAATTTTAATTTTTCTCCACACCATAGTACTTGATTTATGTTGAAGATTCTTGAAATTTTTAGTTAAACTTCATTGGATTAGAAGAAACAATATAAAAAGAAGTCTAAACCCTTTCTCAAAGTCAAAGCCACACAAAAAAGAGCTTAGAACATCTTAAACATAAATAAACAAAACCAAGAACAATATTATAAACTTCTGCACTATTATTATTGTTATTTTTACTCGGGCCACCTTACACGCACCTCAAGATCGCAGAAATCAATCAAAGACGACTAACCATCGCCTCTTCCTTATTCTTCCCACTCAACATGTCCATGGCCCTTTTCACTGCATCAACTACCGACTCCTTCAGCTCTGAAATCTTCCCAACAGCACTGTCTTTCCCCTCTCTTGCCTTCTCCATTGTCAAGATCGCAAAAATCAATGAAAGACGACTAACCATCGCCTCTTCCTTATTCTTCCCACTCAACATGTCCATGGCCCTTTTCACTGCATCAACTACCGACTCCTTCAACTCTGAAATCTTCCCAACAACACTGTCTTTCCCCTCTCTTGCCTTCTCCATTGTCACTGCCTTTGCCTTCTCGACTGTATAGTTTTTATAGTTCCCAGCTTTCCCCAGTACCGAGTCTTTCGCCTTCTTGGCTGCTGCATAAGCTTTGTACTCTCTAACTTTCTCCAATGCTGAGTCCTTCGCTTCTCTCACTTTCTCTGTTGCATAATCTTTATATTCAATCGCCTTTCCTAGTGTCGAATCCTTACGCTCTCTAGCTTTCTTGGCTGCAGTATCAGCAACACTGCTAATTTTCTCCTTCGCTGCCTCCTTGCCATCTCTTGTATATGTTGCCGACTCTTCCTCCATCTTAGCTCGTTCTTGGTAATATGTTCTTTTTCTCTCTTTGTTTGCATCACTACTACTAGGCTCAGAAACAGCTACCCTCACAGTTGCCTCCTCAGCTCTCTCTTCATTGTCTTGGATTGATGCCATAACTATATATCTTTGACACTGATTCAGAAACACCTTCTTATATCCTTTTCATCCTCTTGTTTTTTTTATCTGAGTTTTGTGATTAGAAGACTAGTTTCACACGTTGTGGGCTTGTAATGGTTGACTGACACGTAATTGGGTGCGGTGGCACAACTACTGGACTTTGGATGGTAGGTTACTGTGGTGTTTTCGAAAGATGGTAAAAAATTAACTTTTTTGACTTTTTGGGCTTTTTTCGCTGTTTAATGTGAAAGATGATGTGACTCAAAATTGGTAAAAAGTTAATTTTTAACTTTTTTGATCCTTTCCCAAAACACCCCTAAGGAGAAGTTATTTGGTGGTCCTGGGCATAGTCTACTAAAATGTAAAAGAGGTTAAAGTAGTTAATAAGACAAAATATCACATCTAATTATAATTATTTTATTTTTTCTTTTACAATCATTAAATCAATTACAAAAAAAGAAAAAAAAAAAAAGTTAACTAACTTCTCAAATACAATTTTTTAAATTATGCTAAAATAATCAAAAAAATTAAAAAATTAATTAAAATAGTCAATTTTCTAAGTAAGGCATTAATTAGTGAAAAAGATGTTAAATAATTAAAAAACAAAGAGATATAATATATTATAATTAATAAAGAGTACAATCACGTACCACTAAATAGTTTTTCGTTGGTAAGACGGTGGTGGTTCAGCATGATGAGAACAGACCTCCAGCTTTTCGACCATAGAGCTTATCTTTTTTTCTGATTGGGTTGTTTCACAATCATTAAACCAATTACAAAAAAAGAAAAAAAAAAGTTAACTAACTTCTCAAATACAATTTTTTTAATTATGCTAAAATAATCAAAAAAAATTAAAAAATCAATTAAAATAGTCAATTTTCTAAGTAAGGCATTAATTAGTGAAAAAGATGTTAAATAATTAAAAAACAAAGAGATATAATATATTATAATTAATAAAGAGTACAATCACGTACCACTAAATAGTTTTTCGTTGGTAAGACGGTGGTGGTTCAGCATGATGAGAACAGACCTCCAGCTTTTCGACCATAGAGCTTATCTTTTTTTCTGATTGGGTTGTTGCTCTTGGGCTTAGGCCAAGAACAAGGATCCACAACATTCAATGTTTGAAATGTCGTTCAGGCCCAACTACAACTTACATTTGACACTTATTTCAGAAAATTGTTTAAAAAATTAAAATTTGATTTAGTAAAAAAAATAATAATAATTATCATTTTTATGTAATTTTATTTTTTTAAGAGGTTAGAAATAATTTTAAAAAATTTAAAAATATCCTTTTGAAATTTATTTTTATCAAATTAGTTCTAATTTTTCAAAAAAAAGAAAAAAAAGAAGCCAAACATGGCCAGTTAACTCCACCTATCACATTTGGTCCAAACAGTGCTACAAAACTCAGAAAAATGTTTGGAAATTTTTATTTATTGATTACAATCATTTTAAATGTGACTCACATTTCATCTCATTAATTTTAAATTTACACTATATAATTTGTTTTGAAATAGACTTTAGGATAATTTTTAGGGCGAATTACACTAACAGTCCCTATAGTTTGGGACTCGTGTCACTTTAGTCTTTGACTTTTCAATTGTGACACATTTGACCTTGAATTTTAAATCTTGTTTCAAAAAAGGACAATTGAAGATATCTTTACTCAATTTCAAAGGTAAAGTCGTCAATTTGGTAAAATATAAACTAATTTGACAAAAATAAATGTCAAAAAAATACGTTTAAAATTTTAAAAATTATTTCTACTGACCTTAACTAAAATTATGTAAAATTGATAAATCTTTTACGCATTTATTTATTTATTTTACCAAATTAATTTTTATTATGTGTTTGGATGATAATCATGTAATGAGTGGTTGTTAGGCTTTTAATGTGTAATCGATATATTTAATATATGAAATGTTTTTAGTTTTGGATTTTTTGATTTAATGGATTGGTTTAAAATTGATATCAAAGTCTTGCCATCTTTGACTATTAGAAAAATAGGAATTAATTTAATGAAAATAAAAACAATCACCTATTGCATGATTATCATTTAAACACATAATAAAAATTAATTTGGCAAAATAAATAAATCATCCAAACACATAATAAAAATTAATTTAGTAAAATAATAAGTAAATAAATAAATAAATGTGCAAAAGATTTATCAATTTTGCATTTTATCTTTGGTGGTTAAAAATAATTTTTAAAAATTTAAAAATATTTTTTTGACATTTATTTTTGTCAAATTAATTTATGTTTTATCAAATTGACTACTTTGCCCTTAAAATTGAGCAATGGTATTTTCAATTGTCCTTATTTAGAACAAAATTTAAAATTTAAGGTCAAATATGTCACAATTAAAAAATTAAAGACTAAAATAATATAAATATCAAACTATAAAAACTATTAATATAATCTACCCTAATTTTTATGATTTATAACATTTATGTATTTGCCACAATTACACTCATTTAAACTTCGAAGACAGAAAGTGGGAGTATGCACCCAATACACACGTATGTATCGAGAAAACAAACAATCACACCTTTTGTACATCCAAACAGGTATGTTTTTGCGTGATTGTGACATTACTAGTATACCAGCCCTAAACATGGGGGCTTTTTTATATTAAGCCAATTTATTATTTTAATTTTTAAATTAGGTTTAGTTTAAATAGAATTTTTAAATTAGACTAAAGCGCTATTACAAATCACGCTTTCACTGTTTAGAGTAGAAAATTTGATGAATAGTGAAAGCGTTATTACAAACCACGCTTTTAATTAAGAAAGCGTGGTTACAAACTGAGAGGGTAATTTGTAAACAAATTGGGCCGAGTTAGGAAGAGTCTTCTTTAGGAGTTGAACTGCGTAATGGGCCGAGATAAGGGCTGGTGTAGCTCGGTCTTAGGCCAAGAAGACATCTCATATTTTGGGTTTGGGCCGAACTATGGACCGAGGTATCGGTAGAAAGAGGACCGAGCTAAACAATAGCTTTACAGGGCGTCATCTTGAAGTCAAGACTAATAGTAGTGCTTTAAGTATCACAGAGCCGAAGTAACTTGGCTGACCGCAATGTTAGCCGAGGTAAAGATGTCAGCCGAAATAAGTGGACCTGATGGTTAGCCGAGGTATTGGTGAGAAAGGATGTCGGGCTTGGTATAGCTCGGCCGGTCTTGGTATAACTCGGCCGGGCGCCATCTACAACATTACTTAAGCGTGTGACCGAGGTAACTTAGCTCGGTGTGGTTGCAGTAGCTTATTAAAAGGAGGTAGAATCAATGGCGAGGGCCGAACTGTGTATAGCTCGGCAGAGTGGCATCCGTTAGATCGGCTTTCGATCACACGGTCCGAAGGGCAGGGGATCGAGATAAATCAGTTCGGGCAGGAATGTATAACCGAGGTAAAAGGTTCAGCCATCTCACTTGGCTTGCAATGATGAGACTTCTAGTAGGACTCTGCTAAGGAGAGTTAGAGTCCTACTGGGATTGTGTAAACCATTTCACTTGGTTGGCAGTGAGTAGGAGTATGACTCCTAGGAGGACTCTGTTAAGGAGAGTAGAGTCCCACTAGGATTGTGCAAAACCATCTCACTTGGTTGGTAGTGAGTAGGGTGTGTGATTCCTAGGAGGACTCTCAAAGGGAGAGTTGAAATCCTAGTAGGATTGTGCCAAAGTAAAGTCTATAAAAGCTCATGACCAGACCTATAGACAGGTATCCCAATTCTTACTATAGAATACACAGAGCTTATTATCTATTGTCTAGTTGCTGACTTAGGCATCGGAGGGGTTTCCGGCACACACCCGCCGGTTAGCTCACGTTTGTGTTTTCAGGTGGCAAAGCAACATTGTTTGGAGGAGTGCAAACTTGATCAACAGGATTATACGAGAAGATTTATTTCTTTCCCGCACACAAACCACGCTTTTAACATAATTTTTTTTGTGAAGAAAACGTGATTTCAAATCACGCTTTTACTGTGCATATTGTTTGAATTTTGTTTTCGGAAGAAAACATGGTTCCAAACCACGCTTTCACTTGTTGGAAAAAATGATTTTTGGTGACTTTAATTTAATATTAAAATGTGGTGACTTTAATTAAATATTAAAGTGGGTCCCAACCATTTATTGTGTTGGGTCCAAGTGGGCCAAAAAATCATTGGGTTTTGAATAAGAAATTGCCAAGAAATTGCCTCATGATGTTAGATTCATGAATAGAATTTTAAAGGGTATTTAAATCATTTTTCTTGGCTAAAGGGTGTGAACTTGTTGGGCATCCAAACTTTTCATCTTTCTGGAAAGGGGTTATGAATCCTAGTTAATAGGGCTTTAATGACCAGCCATAATGGCCGGAGGCTCTTCCTCTCTCCTCTATACATGTATAAATTGAGACCCTCCTGTCAAGTCTCAATACAGAAATTTTTACTTCCATTTTACAAGTCAGTTTGCCAGTTCCTACTGTGAGAGAGTGCTGCCACTGTTTTTGTTCGCTAAGCTAGACAGAAAGTGCTTCTGCCGTAGCTGGTTTTTGATCGTCATATCCTGAGAGACAGACGTCGGGATTCCTCAAGCACTCGACCTGTGAGGCGGCAAAATCTGTTTTAAGGAAACTGCTACCGTGCAGGCTTTGATTTGATTTCTTTACCATTTTATTGTTTTGTGTATTTCTGTTGAAATTTAGTTGTAATTATCAGCATATGTTCTTGGTATATAATTTTAATTTCTTCATAAATCTATTTATTTAATTTCACAATTTGAACAACAAGCTTAAAACATATTTATTTATATATTTTCTATGAAATTGATCGAATAGATTTATATAGACAATTAGGTTAGCTTTGTATAATGCTACTAGGAACTGTTGCGGAATTGCTCACTGTTTCAATAATTGTAAATTATGCAATGTTATTCTCTAATTGCTTAGTTTAATTAGAATGCTCTATCATAATTTGCATACTTAATTGTATTAGTATGATCTTATTTTATGCGTATGGTT